CAGGAACCCGTCTGAGTGTAGGGAACGCAGGGCAGCCCAGAGGAAGGCGTGCTCATCATTCTTAAAAAAATCCTTAAAAAGGGGCCGGGGGCAGGGGGAGGGAGGGACTCCAGTTTTGTTTTTTCTTCCAAATACTGTTGTTTTATAATGTATCACGAAAGCGTGTTTGATTTCTTTTTTCCTGTTTAAGGTGTTATCAGGTAGAACTTATGAGTTTTCTCGTAAAAACAGAGAGAGAACAGAGCAAAAGGATGGAATTCTGCCAGACCTTTCGGGACAGGCCCTTTGATGCCTGGGGGAGGCTGGTGAGCGTGAAAGCTCACTCTCCTTTGCCATAGAGACGGGAGCCTGTTGGTGTTTGATAGAAATGGGGAGAGGGGGCAGTGGAGAATTGTGTTTGGCCTTGGCCTGGAGCAGATGCCCCCTTCCCCCTCCGTAGTGTCCTGCCCACGGCCTCCTCTGTAGCATTCCAGACGCCGACCCGGAGCCCTGGGACTACAGTGTGGTCCCTGATCCTGCAGTCGCTGTGCCCAGCCTTTCTCTATGCCACTGGAAACGCCTGGCCCTGCCCCAGGCTTCCGGAGGGCAGTGTGGAGTCAAGGGTTAAGAACACCGACTTTCAGGGAGGGCTGTGAAAAACTGAGTTGCCGTCCGGCTCCTGGATGAATTCTTTTTTTTTTTTTTTTTTTTTTTTTATTGAAGTGTAGTTGATTCACAGTGTTGTGCCAGTCTCTGCTGTACAGCAAAGTGACTCAGTTATACACATGTAGACATTCATTTTTTATATTCTTTTCCATTATGGTTTATCACAGGATATTGAATATATTTTTGTGTGCTATACAGTAGGACCTTGTTGTTTACCCATTCTAAATGTAATAGTTTGCACCTGCCAACCCCAAATCCCAGGCCATCCCTCCCCCCCCACCACCACCACCTTGGCAACCACCAGTCTGATGTCTATGTCCGTGAGTCTGTTTCTGTTTCGTAAATAGGTTCATTTGTGCCATATTTTAGATTCCACATATAAGTGATATCACATGGTATTTGTCTTTCTCTTTCTGACTCACTTCACTTAGTATGATCAGCTCTAGTTGCATCCATGTTGCTGCAAATGGCGTGATTTCGTTCTTTTATATGGCTGAGTAGTATTCCGTGTCATATATGTTCCACATCTTCTTTATCCATTCCTCTGTCGGATATTTAGGTTGTTTCCATGTCTTGGCTATTGTGAACAGTGCTGCTATGAACACAAAGGTGCATGTCTCTTTTTGAATTATAGTTTTGTCTGGGTGAATTCTTAACCACCGCAGGCTCCTCTGCAAGAGGGGATAACAGTATTTGCCTCATCATGGGTCGTGCTCTTAGAGTAGTGTCTTGCATTCCGGGCATCCTCAGTAAAGGTGGCAGTGGCTGTCCAGAAGCTGGGGAGGGTGTTTGCAGAAGTTTCACCTCTGCTTGCATCCCATTTCGCCCCTCCCCAGGTGACAAGCCACCTGGGCCAAGGCGTAAGCCCCGGGGAGCTATTGTCCTCATGGTGACACTCAAGGCGGGGCTGGGCCTTTCCATCTCTTCCCAGTCGTTCTTTCCCACTCAAAACCTGGACATAATGAGCCCCAGTTCGTAAAGGCTCTGAAAATCTTCATTAGAAAGGGCTACCTGAGTGCAAGGGGATGTTTCTTTGAGAAGCTTTTCAACAACATCAATGAAAAATAGATGAGCTCTCTTGAATTGCAAATGCTCTTAAGGTTTTAAGGCAAAAAATGTGAAAATCAGTCTCTCTTTCCCCCCTCCCTTGTGGTGAGGTCCGGTTTCAGTTGCCTCTGTTTAACAGTAAACATCAAACATAATCTTTAGGGCCAGAAAAAAGCTTCCTCTTAGCAGCATCACCCTTCCCAGAAGCTTGAACCCAATTAATTTTAATTCAGTTCTGTTTCCACTGGCTTTTTTGTTTTTGCTTTTTAATATTTCAATAACTATTTATTAAGCTTTCTCTCTGTGCCTGGCTTCATGCCCGAGGCTGTGGGGTGGAAGATATATAAAACAGTCAAATTCACTCCTAGCAGAGGGATTATAATTGAGTTAAATAAAGGCAAGACAGACAGCACAAGTGGTTGAATCGTGCCAATTTAAGTACACAAGTAAGAGCCCACGTGCCCAGAGCGGGTAAAGGGGTCAGAAGCTCACCTAGACTGGCTCAGGGCTCCGTGGGCTGGTAGTCCACCTCCTCAGCTTGACTGAACACACAAGCACAGAGGAAGCAGTTATGTTTCCTTTGCAGAACTGCCTTTGCAAAACCACTACTGTGGGCAGAATGGTAGGGGCTCTGCTATAATTAAGGCAGCAGGTTTCCGGGAGTCCTCATCTGCTTTGCCTGTTTGTTCAGCTCGTTCTAGAATAATGGACTGCCCAGGGATGACCTTGCCCTTGTTGGAACACATCAAAATGGCATAAGGCAGGGAGCTGGGGACCACCGAAGCCTGCTGTGGCCCAGGCGGAGGGAGGTAGGTTCCCTGGAGCATCCTCTGGGCCTCAGCGCTTCCACTGTTCAACACGCAGCTGAGAGCCTAGCGTTTTGGAAAACTGGCGTTTCTTAACTCTACTTTGATAACTCTTCAGAGAGGGACTCCACTGTGTATTCTTGTGTGCGTCTGAGTACCTATGTTTGTTTCTGATTGGAAGGATAAAAAGCCCAAAGAACAAGAAAAAAGAGGGGATTTTCTTCATCGGCCGTTTTCCAAGAAGTTGGATAAGAACCTGCCATCGCACAAACAGCCCTCAGCCTCGCTCATCACGCAGATTCAGAGCACCAGGGCCCTGCTGAAGGACCGGAAGGCCGCCAAGCCTGGCTTCCCCGACAAAGGTGGGTCGGCCCGGGGGGCTCTCCAGGCCATTTGTGTTCAGCTGCGTGGCCGCTGTGTACCCCATGCTGGTGGCTGTGTAGGCCCCTGGGACAGACACAACTCTCGTGCCCATGGGAAAGCAGGATTAATGCATGCAAGGCAACCTGAGAATAAGCAGGTCCAGACAGCCTGCTGTTTGTTGTCCACCAGTGTGGGCAGGATTTGAGAAAGCAGAGATGGGGTGCACGGGATTGTGGGAGCAGAGATCAGGGTGTAAGGTATTACAGGAGTAGAGATTTGGGTGCAGAAAAAGAGATCAGGATGAAGGAGCAGAGATTGGAGGAATGGTTTTGCAGGAGCAGATATCAGGGTGTGTGGCATTGCGGGAGCAGAGCTTGGGGTGCATGGTATCATGGAACCAGGAATGGGTGTTCAGTACTGAAGGGGCAGAGATCTTGGTGCGGGAGCCGTGATGGGGGCGTGCTCTTGTGGGAGCCTTCACCAGAAAAGTGCACCCTGAGAGGCAGTGATGTGGGCTTTGGGGTAGAGGTAGGGTGCTCAAACCCAGCTCTATAGTTGATTGTGGCCCAAGTTCCTTCCCCTCTGAGGATCTTAATTGGTTCCCTCACTTGTGAGGAAATCTACCCATCAGAGCTGTTGGGTGGATCAAATGAGATACGTGTGTGGGCTACTCTGCCTCATTCATCATCCAGCACGCGAGATAACTGATCGATATGGGTCTCCTTCCTCTGGGGCAAGCATCCAGCGATGCAGAAGGGAGGCTTAACACACACTGAGAGCCGGGAGGTGGGCACAGGGAGCCGGGGCGCATCCTGAGGCCAACTGTGGGGTAGAGGAGAGGTACTCCTTACAGAGGGCGGATGGGAGAGATTGTGGAGTCCAGTCTTTGATCTCTTTGTTTTAAATATGAAGAGGCTGAGGTTCCAGGAGGGCCCTGGCTGTCTGAGAGCAACCAGTGGTTCCCTGGGGAAGCAGGAAAGTATCAGAGAGATTCAAACAGCACCAAGCAGCACGGTCCATTTGACTCTGAGACCGGTTCTCACCCAGAGAAGAACAATTCCATTTAGTTCAGTTTCATTCTGCAGGTTTCAGGAAGGCAGGGACCCCACTGGAGGGGCTGTGCTTGTCCCTCCTTGGGGGATCCTCCTTTCTGGCTTGGGAACAGGCAGCAAATCCTGTTAGGACCCTTGACAGTGGCATCCTATGGATTCCCCAAGGAAAGTCTAGGTCAGGGCTGCATGTTTGGGGGTAACTTTGCAGCCCCAGAGGTGGAGTGCGTTCCTTGATACTTTTCCGGACCAACTGTCCTCTGTTTCTTTGCATTTTTCCTTCCTCCTGGGATTTGAGAGCCTGTTGCTGAGAAGCACCTCGGAGCCTATATAATTGCTAGCACTGACCACTCACTGTGTGGTAGGCACTGCTTCAACTCCTACCTCAACCCAGTGAAATTATTCTCACCCCCATTTCTAGAGACGAGGAAATAGCCCAGAGAGTTGTCCAGAGTCAGAGAGCTGGTGAGTGACGGCATCCAGATTTCCAACCATGCAGCCTGGCTCTAGAGCTTTCTCTCCTGACCAGTGTAGCCTACTGCCTCCCGCGCAGGATGGGATGAAGACGAGCTGGCAGTCATGCTCAAGGGTCGGGGCTGGTGACTGTGCCCTTCTTGCGGGGACAGTGCATTGTCTGGCTCTATGCCCCGGGGCTGACTCTGAGCTGGGGATCAGTAGGGCCAGTGTGAGGGGCGTCCTCCCAGGATTTGCACCTCTGGGGAAGTGAAGGAAGCAGGACGGCACGGAGGGAGAAGCCGGGCTACAAGTTGGGAGCACGCAGCCATCTCAGGGAGGGACAGGGACCTCACATGCCAGCTGGAACGCTGGAGAAGTTAGCCATCGATGAAATTTTCCTTCTCTCTGCCGGTGGATCTCGGGCATCTGTGCTGGCCCAAGGAGGAGGTTTATTTCAGGATCTGTGTATTTATTTGTGTAAGGTGAAGAGAATTCCCAGTGCCCTGGGCTGTCCCCGAAATCACTGCCGGGGGCAGCAGCTTGCTCCTGCCTCTGGACGCCGACAGGGCCTATAAAATATGATGGTAGGAAAAGGCAGCTAAGACAGGGCCTGTTCCACAGGAACTTGGCTTTACTTCCCTCACCTCCAAATTCGTGGAGGTTTTCCCTTTCTTTTCTGGCAGAGTCTGCAAACCTGGATTCTAGTCTGTGCCAACTTGAAATGGAAACCGTGGGGGTCAGCTGCTTGCCTCAAATATACAGAGGGAGAGTGTTTCACCCCTGTTCAGAATTAGGTGAGGCTCCGGTGAGGCCAAAAAACATGAGGGAGCCTTAAAAAGGAAGGCAATTCTGACCCGTGCTCTGCTGACACGGAGGAACCTTGAGGACGTCGTGCTCCGTGCAACAAGCCGCTCACAAAAGGACAAATATTGTGGATTCCACTTATACAAGGGACGTAGAGTAGTCAGATTCATAGACCGGTTGCCCCTGGCAACCGCTGTTAGATTTGCAAGGTGAGGAGTTCTGTTTCACAGCAGTGTGAACGTACTGAACACTACTGAACTGTACACTTAAAAGTGGTTAAGTAATAAATAAACACTTTAAAATTCATGTTATGTAATTTTTACCATAATTTTTTTTTTTTTTGAAAAGTCACGAGGGAAACCCTCCTTCCAGCTTTGATTATCTGAGGACCAAATTTGCAAGTCCTCAGAGAGCTGGTATCCATGTGCTTCCCCAGTTTCGTGGTCGTTCTGTTGAGCCGTGGACCTTTTTATTCAAAGGCTCTTCGGCAGGTCCAGAATTTTAAGCAACCCGAAAGGAGAACAGATGTTAAGCTGGAGCCATGAGGCAAATCAGAATCCAGGAGGCCTCCCGTCACCAGCCGTCTGTCCTCTCCATTCTAGGAAGACCGTCTGATTCCCCATGGGGAGGATGGGATGCTGAGGCCATTCACTTCATGGTTCCATCTGACCTCCCTGGAAAACACACTGTCTCAGTGAAGCTGGAGGTCAGAGCAGGCGGGGGTGGGCCATTGGCACGGTTTGTGTGGCCGTCTTCACGTTTTCTTTGCTTTCTTGGTGTGCAGATTCCTTCGGCTGCCGCAATATTTTTCGCAAAACCTCGGACTCCAATTGCGTGGCTTCCTCCTCCATGGAGTTCATCCCTGTGCCGCCCCCCAGGACACCCAGGATTGTCAAGAAACCAGAGGCCCCTCAGCAGGGGCCTGGGAGCGCTGGCATCCCTGCCAAGGAAGACCCCCCGATGCTGGATATGGTGCGCTCCTTTGAGTCTGTGGATCGTGACGACCAGACGGAACTGCTGTCCCCGTCCCATCACTATAGGATTCTGAACTCCCCTGGAGGCCTGGCTCGAGGGAATCCCGGTGACCGGACGCTCTCTCCCGTCCTGCTGCCTGGAAGCCCATCACCTCTCCAAACTCCTTTGCACCCCACTCTGGTCTCCTTTGCCCACGAAGATAAGAACAGCCCCCCCAAAGAGGAGGGCATGTGTCCCCCAGCCCCGGGGCCCGGCAACGGCACCACACAGCCCCTGGGGAGCCCTAACTGTGTGAAAAGCCGAGGCAGGTTCCCCATGATGGGCATCGGACAGATGTTGAGGAGGCGGCATCAGAGCCTGCAGCCCTCCGCAGACAGGCCCCTGGAGGCCAGCGTGCCCCCGCTGCAGCCCCTGGCCCCCTGAGCCCCTCCTTCGACGTGGCTGACGGGGTCAAAGGCCAGTGTTAACCTGGGCCAGCAGTGGGGTTCCTGGCATTTCTAAGGAAAGCAAGGGAGCAGCTCCATACATCTGTCAGGGCATGAAGACTCAAAGGCCTCGCACAGAGCATCCTTCACGGTCTCACCTCCTCCTGACATGCGATGTCCCCACAGCTGAAACCCACAGACCCAAGAGCCTGTACAGCCCAGTCCCGAGTAGGGCCCCCTGGACATGCTGGGATCCCCCAGGAGGGTTGCCTGCCCGTGCACCCAGCTCCAATCATGCACGGCCTCCTTCCTCCCACCCACTCACGAACCCTCCAGCCCCCTCCCTCAACTGCACTGGAGGTGAGAAGCCAGCATCAGGCTCTGGGCCACTCAGATGACAGACCCTTCCGAGCTGTTTCTCCACTTTGTGCTCTGTGTGTGCCTCTCAGCGGACTGTTCTCTTTTCAGCAGTCAGATGGCGGCGTCACAAACTGGTTCACCCAGGCACGGTTTCCCCTCTTTTCATAGAGGTGGATCCCTGCAGAGGTGGCAAGAGTTGGCGACCTGGAGCGCCCAGTCCCATGAACCCCTGGGGAGGACAGGCAGGAACCTCCGAAAGCAGCACCGTGCCCTCTGAGCAAAGAGGGGCATCTGGTCAAAGAGCGATCCGAACAGTGGTGACGCCAATGAAAGGAAAGGGCCGATGGGGACACTCATTTGCCAAGCAGGGTCTTGACAGATTTCTTTTCTCTTTTGGTTGAAACTTGCTAATGGTTGAATTATCTTCTCCGAAGATGATTTTTCGTTATGTGATGTCATTAGACCGAAACAACATAATTTTTAAAAACCTGGATGGAGAGATGAGAATTGATTTCACCAAACTCCTGTTCTCATGGGAGGATAAGCGTGGAGCGCATCAAAGCTCACCCAGGTGATGTTTTGAGTGGCTGGTGGCCTACAATGGCCTGCAGAAGGGGCGAGATCATAGCTGGCCATGTGTTCTTCCCATTGGATCAACAGAGCCCCGATCCTGCTGGAAAGTGTAACACATAGTTACGGGAGAATTAAGGTTGGATATGGATGTGCTCAGAAGGCACCATTAGCTCTGTGCAATGCGGTTTTCAAGCTGCCAAGGAAACAGGCATGATTTAGAATTCAGCCAGTTTGCCGTGGGCTGTGAGAGGCTCGTCTGGAGGGCATCCCGTTCAAAATACAGTATCGTATCTTCTTTGAGGACAGCAGCACTCCTCACGCAGGCTTTGAGTCCATGTTCTATTTTCACACCTTTTGCCAAGGATGGAACCAAAGATGCATCTCTGGGTCTGTGTCTGTGCCGTCCCTCTGTACGTGTTCTGTGGACCCCGGCGTTGTCTGACCGTGTGTAGCTTGGAGCCCACCGGGGGCTGTGTCCCCTGGGGTCTGGGCCCTGGCACTTGGTGGGGACCACTTGGTGGTGAGCAGAACTGGCCAAAGGATCAGTACAGGTTGGACAGAGGTCAGTTCGGAGACAGGTCACACTGCAGCCTGGAGTCTTCAACTGTTGGCTGGTGCAGGTGCGGCCAGAAACCACTAATGTGGCCACCCCAGGGCTAGTCCTCCCAGCCCACTGATCCCGAACAAAGGCCACAGCCTTTGAGCATTTGCAAAGCCCGCCTTCCCTTCCACCGGCAGCCAGCCTGTGCCAGACAGTAGTGGGGATGGTCCTTCATTTCTTCTCATTCAGCACTGGTGGGCTTCTTCCGCCCCAAACGCCTCTGACTGAGCAAGGAGAGAGCGGATACCTGGCTGTCCCCAGGAGCCACTGCCGTGCCCAGTCTTGGCTGACCTTGACAAGACCTGGGGCTGCTGCTTCCGCCTTGGTGGGATCACCCCCAGCCCTAGGGCTAAAGAGTAAGTCAGGCTCCCCGCTGTTGTTGGCACTCCTTTGGATGGCTCCAGACTGGGTTGCGGAACTTTCCGTTGAAAATAGAGCTTTTTAAGTCGAGAGAAGAAAAGCATCTGAAAAAGTCCCTCTCTCCATTTGACATGAAGTGTTTGGTTTTTGATCGCCGAAGAAACCTTTTTGAAGATGGTCTCCAGCTGCAAGTGCCGGCTCTGCAGGCTTGCAGGCTACGTGCCTGTGAACTTGGTCTAGCTCTTTATGTCACTCTCTTGTGTTTTACTTGCCTCGAGAACATGAGCATTTCTGTGTCGCTGTTAGCTTGCTGGGATGTGTTCCCCGATCCTCGTATGCTTCCAGAACAGCTGCAGGCTCTCCTACAACTGACCAAATGCATCGCCACTGGCAACTTGAACTGTGAACTCAGGTTTATTCCAAACCCAGTGAGAGGTGAGGGGGGGAGTGAGGAAGGGGGGAAACTGTATTTTGTGTGTGTGAGCACCTGACAAATCTATGGAATCGAGTGAGAGAAGAAATGTTAATTCTTTATTATTTTATTATATTTATATGGAGACCTTGATTATCCCTTTGGTAAGTACAAAGTGTGTTGTCTCTTTGACCCATGACTGTCTCTCAGTAGTAGTCTGCACCTGTGATCTGAGTCAGCCTATAGTTACTGCCGGAAGTGACAACTATCTTCGTGTGACATCCGGGAGGAAAAGTCGGCTTTCGTTGTACCATCTGGTCATAAGTAAGGACTGTATTTATGTCACCATTATTAAATATATGTACTTTTATACCGACTGTGAAATACACTTTTCCCTCACTATGACTGCTCATTTATTGGCTGATGTATCTTAAAACTAAGAGCACGTTGCAAAATAGTGGTATCGTCTTCTACGTAAAGTTCTTGGCCCAGGAGCTGACAGGATACAAGAGGGGATCAAGGTGTGGGTATCTGAGGGCATTTTTGGCTTCGTTTCACTTGCCACAGGGTGTCTGCCAACACCTATCTGCCTGACGTCCGGCAAATGGCAGTTCAAGACGAATCAGCATTTTTCTTTTTTTTGGGCGGGATATCAGGATCTTCCTTGTAGACTCTGAAAATGGCACATGAAGAATGCCATCTGTGAACATTACTTCTAGCTTCTGTCCTTGTTTGAGGGTTGGGGGAAGAGGAGTGGTGAGTAGAATGGAAGGGGGGTCCAGACGGGGTGTTTGGATTGGCCCAGTTCTGACTTCTTTCATAGCTGTTCACAAAACATTTTTCATATCTACAGACTTGCTTAAGCCCTGTGTCCCCCTTGCAGTGTGGCTCCCCTGTACGGTGTAGCATGGTAGAAAGTGAGAGGCCCACAGTTTCCACTACGCAATGCTCGCTTTTTTGCGGTCCGCGGGCCTCTCACTCTTGGGGCCTCTCCCGTTGCAGAGCACAGGCTCCGGACGCGCAGGCTCAGCGGCCATGGCTCACGGGCCCAGCCGCTCCGCGGCATGTGGGATCTTCCCGGACCGGGGCGCGAACCTGCGTCCCCTGCGTCGGCAGGCGGACTCTCAACCACTGCGCCACCAGGAAAGCCCCGGTGTGTCTAGTTTTGATGATGATGTTTTCTTTTAGGAATCAGAACAATTTAGAACAGAAGGGACCTGAGATCATGGGGTTCAACCCAAGCTTTTTTGAAGAAGAGAAAACTGGGGCCCCAGATGGTTTAAGGACTCTCCAGGGTCCCTGAGTGGGTCTGGGGCGCAGGGCACCTTCCTGAAAGAACACAGAGAAATCAGAGAGCATGGCCACTGTGGGCAGAGGGGAAAGTCAACAGCAGATCGAGCTGTCCTTACAGCACGTATCTTTGGGGTTTCCACGTGGGCCAGGTCTTTGCTGTTTTAAGTCGTTCTCAAAATTGTGCAGCTTCTTGAGATCCTGAGCATCACACGCTTTCCGTCTACCATCAACTCTTTTTTTTTTTTTAACTCTTTATTTTATACAGTACAGTTGATTAACGATGCTGTATTTCAGGTGTACAGCAAAGTGATTCAGTTATACATATACATGTATCTATTGTTTTTCAAATTCTTTTCCCATTTAGGTTGTTACATAATATTGAGCAGATATTGTGCTATACAGGAGGTCCTCGTTGGTTACCTGTTTTAAATACAGCAGCGTGTACATGTCAATCCCAAACTCCCTAACTATCCCTGTCTCCTCCCTTTCCCCCCAGTAGCCATAAGTTCGTTCTCTAAATCTGTGAGTCTGTTTCTGTTTTGTAAATAAGTTCATTTGTGTCATTTTATTTTAGATTCCACATATAAGTGATATCATATGGTATTTGTCTTTCTCTTACTTCACTCAGTATGGCAACTCTTGAAGCCGGACAAAAACTCTTTCATTCTCAACAGATCTCCCAAGTAAGCAGCCACCCTGGATAGCCTCGTTATCTATGTTAGCTGTTAAAAGGCTACTGGGTTTTACTAGATTAAGTCAATAAAATACTTTCTATATAGCCATGTCATAACGTGAGACCAATTCAGAAAGAATGTGAGGCTGATATTTTTAGGGGGTCTGGAAGCCTCTCGATTATTGTATTTGTTTTCTTTGTAAGACCCTCTAAGTGTTACAGGCACAGTTAAAATAATTCAGAGCAGTCCTGGGAGCGGGTTCAATTTAATGTTATCACTTTTCAATGAAAGGTTTCCTGAGTAGTAAATGAGTGTACTATTTGTGGCAGGTTTTGTGTGTTTTTTTTTGGTCAAGGGTGCTTTTCAGACACCTGGTTCCAAAGACAAATGGAGTCTGTATTCGTTTCTGTGGACTTCTGCACTTCGTTTCTGTGGACCTGTTTTCAGGACACACAGTTATCTCTGAGAGCTGATGTCTGTGGCTCCAAGGGGCCTGGGGGGGGGGAAGAGTGGGGAGCATCTCAGCCTTTGCAATTTCCTCTACATGTATACCCACGTTTGAGCTGGTGTGCGGATAAGGAGGTCTTTGGGGGCATGAGCTCTGGGAGTGTAGATTAGACTGATGTGCAGCAAACTCAGGGACTAACCAGTGACACATCACAGAGTGGACAATGCCAGGACGCTGCATTATTTAATAAATGGCTCCAATTTAAGGGCCTGAGTTAGTTACACAACATATTCCTTGTTCAGAAGACGGCCCATAGCTGTT